ATATACATACATACATACATACAAACATACATACATTTTTTAATATATTTTTCATATAAAATAATTCATGTTTACTTGTAAGAAACTATTTAAACAATTTTAACAATATTTAAATGACTAATCTATACTACAAAGTATAAATTACTGTTAAACGTTATACTACATTGAAATACATTAATAAAATAAAATATATACATGTTACAGTTGCTTTTTACTGCGATGCATGCAATGTATGATATTAATATTAATGCTATATAATATTACTTTATAATTAATAGTGGAAATATTATGAAGAAGAAGAAAATATAATAATAATAATAATAACAACAACAATAATAATTATTTTAAAAAGTTTACCATATTTGCATAGATTATTTTCTGTAGCATTTTCTACATTGTTTTACAGTGTGTACATGATCTTAAGTATATTTATCTGAAGAGTGGACACATTTCAGTGGTGTTAGGGAAGGTTTCAGATCTGCTGGTAAAACTGGGCCTTTCAAGTGCACTGGCAACCAGACGCTCTTATTTTAGCGAGCTCCCAGAACAGATAAAAGCCAACATGATGACAATCACTGTTTCAATTACTTTATCAATCTCCATAGACGACACACACTCACAGCCGTTATCTGCCCGACAACAGAAACCCAGCCGCAGGGCCTCTCTGGCGGATTTCTTTGGAAGTCTTACTAATTTAATTAAATTAGGTCTCAAAGAGGAGCACTGCAGATTGCAACACCCATAGGGAAATGAAGTCAGAATGAAGTTTGTTTAATGGTGTGAGGAGGACTTCACTGAGAACTCTGGTTAAGAAGGCAATCTCGCTCACAAAGGGATAAGAGGAATGGCTTTTTACTTCACGTCCGCTGCTGTTCAGTCAAGAGCATTTCAAAAACAAACTGTAACAGCAAGTTGCTCTGTAGCGAGAAATATGCAAGCTTGAAAACTGCCCGGGTAATTTTCTCGCTGATGAAAAATTGGAAAAGGGCTCCTTCATGCTTCACTTGCATTCTGGAGCGGTTCTCCCTCACGGCTCGGTCCGAGTACTCTTTGAACACTTTCTGCTGAGGGTGTCAGAACGACTCGAGCCGGGCTGGATTGAGGTGTGCTCAGCCGTGAGCTGCATTTGTAAAATATTTGTGAGGGTCAAAGCATTCAAACGTTTCCAGAGAAAGATAATAACCACAATCAGCCAAAAGTCTAGAGTCTAGAGAGAATCGAGCAAAAGGGAGGAGAAAGTGGATCATTTATGTCTACATTAATGAAAGATGTGCCGAGCATAAATCCAATTTGCCCATTTCCCGTCGACTAGAAGAAAACTGGTGCACTTTAGAGTAAACGATGAAGAAACATTATCATACAAAACCGCTTTCGGAAGTCAAAACAACATTTAGCCTAGGAGACAATTTAGTTAAAGTGGATAATCGACATATTAAAGCAGGTGACAAAAACAAAATACCACACTGCTTTTTAAAAAAAATATTATTTTGTTATTATTAAACAAGAACAATGAACAAGTATATTTTTGTGACAAATAAATAGATATTTTTCAAATACAATTAGTCTTACATTTAAGTCTGATCTGTATTCATTTTCTATAGGACCTTATTAATGTATTTACAATGTAAAATTGTGTGTTTAAAAAATGTGTTATGATGCTTACAATAATCATTGTTTTAATGGCTTTATAATGGCACATTATAATTTAGCTTAATGCATTTTAATATTGGAGAGACAATGAATCATGTAGCAGAACTGTAGATTCTTCACAAGTAGCTGAAGTAAACTTAAAATATTGTATTTTTAGTCAGATTTTTATGTATTAATATAATAAATTAAATATATAATGTTAAACCGCATAAACACATTTCATTACACCAAATACACCAAATAATGTTCTTTTTAGCAAAAGAACCCCTTTAATTATATTGATAAAATGTATTAATTATATTAATTAAACATATTGAAGTGTGTGTATGTGGGTATATATATATATATATATATATCTCTTTTGAAGTGTGTGTTGCATCAATATGTTTAATAATATAATTTTATTTATTGTATTATATACTTATATATTGCATGCATTATTAATTAATATTTATATATTTATAATTTTATATATATATATATATATATAGGCCTACACACTATATATATTTCCATAATTTCCCCCCGTAAATGTATTTGTATTTCCATAATTTACAATTAGGCCTATGTAGGCCTAATTGGAAATAAATAAATAAATAAAATAAGTAAAATAGGAAAGGGGAGGGTAAGGGGTCTCGGAGCAGATGCAGGCCTCATGTGGATGTAGCGCAGTTATGAATTATTATGTGTTTCTGCTTCAAAGGAGGACAGACTGGGACATCGCACCGAAGTCCCAGTGCGATGCAACACACTATTAATTTTTTTAGGGGTCGTGACAGATAACAGTATGACAACAGGCCCGTATGTGCGCATTTTTACATCATTATGGGGACTTTCCATTGACATACAGTATATTGCTTATATAAAGTTAATTATATTTCTAAGATATCCACCAGCCGTTTATAGAAACGTTTTTGGCAAGTTTAGATTTTAATTAAGACACTATTCAGTCCCTATACAAGCTGTTTCCATTGTTAGGGCCGTTATGAAGTGCAGGTAATTTTAGTTTTACTGTCATTGTGGGAGCATTTGGTCACATTTCATCCAGCTTCTGTCATCTTTTACAAAGGAACTCATTCGTAACATGCTCTAAATTTATTGAAAAATTGCCGACATACAAATATAGGCCATATGAAACCATGACCCTCCTCCAGATTCGTTTTACGTCTTCAGATTGACAAAATCATAAGTATATTTCTCGTCTGTAATGTGTCGTTTATTGGCAGTCTTCTCCACTTGAAGCTCTCTGAAGAGTAAATGAGAACAAGATGCCTTCTAGTGCACAGCACCAAACTTATTAACATTTCATGTTAAGAGGTTTAAGATCCATAACAAGTAACTGGCGTCACAACACTCTCATGAAAATAAACTGAATGAATTGATGGATAGGCTGCATTACACTAGTATACATATATCAAACAGTACTTAATAATGCGGAATTGTCCATAACGGTAGACATAAACACTTTAAAATGGCAGGTTTATAGAATTTTTCATTCCCCAGTTATTTTATGCAATATTTTATTCACTTAGGCAATAGAGACCCACAGTGGGCAAAATGGGAATTTGACTCTTTTCAACCGCTGTAAATTCAACGCTAATTAACTGCACTTCTCATGACGTAGAAAAAACGTAAAGCAGCGAAAATTATATAGAGACTAAATGAGAAATCAATTACTAAAATGTTTATCAAAAAGTCCAAACGAGTTTCCCTTCTTTCCACGTAAAGACAAATTTGACTGGAGGCTAGCATCATCATAAACACCTAGTTTGAGGTAAATATTTCCCATAATCAGTTAATATGTTCCCTTGTAAAATGACTCAAAGCGTCACAGTGGTCAAACGGGTCAGTCAGGTCGACTGTCCCCCAATCACCCGCAATATCTCTTTCTGTATCCGGACGTCCTGTGTGTTGATGTTAGCATCCCCTACTTGGCCATCCTCGTACCTGAGGAAAGACAGACAAAACAGACAATTGTGGGACACATTGTGAGCCAAAAGAGGCAGAATTTGAAATAAGACAATGTAATAAAGTGTGAAAATACTCACACAAAAAAGAAGCGTGTGCAGACGTGATCAGAAATCGGGCAAACCCAAATATTTCCATGCTTCTGTAGATCTTTGGAAGTTATTACTGTTGAGAGAAACATAAAATGTGTTAACTTTAAAGGAATAGTGCATAAAAAAAACGACTACATCCATTTTTGGTGAATGACGGAATAGCTCATTTCAGGTTTGAATGTTATAATTGAATAACCCCGTACCCTCACACAGAGCAACACAGTTTAGATTTCGACTCTGAAGAAACCTTGACTGTGTGGGTTGACACTGCAAAAGGAAAATGACACATTTAGCAGTGATGCATACAACAGAAGATGGTAAGTATCTTCTTTTACAAATTAGTGAAATGAGTGCAATCACAAACGCAAGCTTCATATAACTCTGCATATATTGTTTCCAATCAGGATGACTCACCTAGTCTGATTAACTACAGATTGCACCTGTAATACATCCATATCAGTCCAGTCTCTACAGATGGAGTTAATACCTGTAAGACAGTGTTGACCCGGTTGTAGTGCTGTACTAATTCCTCTTTAGTAGGCATGTGGTGCTGTCCCTTTCCCATTCCTGCACACAAATACAGTCTACAGTGAAAACTAATATGACAGTGCTATATGGATAGAAATGAACACTGCAGTAAAACAAATGATTTCAAATGCTGCTCAATCAAATGCTCAAGTTTCCTTATAAAAGTAATCTGGCAGTATTGATGGCACTTGGATATATATCATACAGAATGATTAACGTATTCAAATATCATGGTATTTACAAGGCAATGATTTTCAACATGTTTTAATACCTTTGCAAGGGGCCTCATTTTTAAAATATGAAGGCAACTGTTTATTTTAATACATAAAGATACATTTATAGTGTGTGATACTGTAATAACATGTTGTGTAAATAACCTTAATAACAATAAATATAAATTATATACAGTATATATATTCGATTTTTCTCACAATCTAACCAGAAAAATTATAATAATAATTCGAAATAAATGATGTTTTTGTGATTAATTATATAAGCTGTTTGTAATATTACAAACAACATATATTTATTGTTTTTTATTCTAAAAATATTATTCACAACTTTTATTTATCGTGATTAATCTCATAATCTGACCAGTTTTTAGAGAAAAATAAATATTATTATTTATATTTATTGTGATTATTCTCATAATCTCAGACCAGTATTAGTATTTTTTTTTTATATATAAATAATTTATATTTATTATAATTAATCTGACCAATAATATATGAACAGTTTTTAGATAGAGGAATAAAACAGTGATAATATCAAATTCATGTTGAAAATAACATGCTGAATTATTGCATCAAACATATTTAATTAATATCTTAATTTTAAACTCTAAAAATATGTTACTTTTGTTTTACTTTCGCTTTCATATTTTATGTGGACCGGACCCCCAATTATATTACTATTATACAACCATGTCCAAAATGTCTTTGTCTTTCAAATTGTATAAACCATGCATGTTTTTTAAAATGTTGCACTCTATAGACGAGCCCAAAAACTCTTACCTGAGTATCCAAATGAGATGCTGGAGATGGGGCTGAGGTAGATGCCCTTCCCATAGGCCGCCCCATGCAGCTTGTGTCAAAGAGAACAAGAAGGCAGATTGGCCAATACCCAATACGCTAAGCAGAAAATCAGTGGGTAACGCACTACAGTTCTTCATTCACCACAATAAGAGTAACTGTGGTACCTGCAGTTTCGTGTAGGAGGCGTTTACAAGTCCATTTCGTAGAATAGAGTGCCAGTTTTCAATATGAGAACCACTGAAGACAGAGAACCAGTGATTAGTCAGTAATCATAAAACAGTGATTATGAAACGATCTCATACGAAACTGAAACCCACTGAAAAGCGAACGTGCTGCCGTGGAGTTTTCTAGCGGTGCGAAAGCGGGCCTCTTTAGCAGGAGGACTGCTGAGGAGCAGGAACTGATGGGAAGTGTGCATGAACTTCAGTTGCTGTTAGCAAAAAACGGAGGAGTGAAACAGAGGAAATAAAGGTTTAGTCACGCTGTTATTTGAGAGATAATGTAATCAAACACCCTTACCCTGCTGGAGGGGAGCTTGACAATGTGAGACCTGTTGCTGGATATAATCCTGAGAAGAAAAAGAAGATTAAGTGTCATTATGATAACAGGAACATGATGAAAAGCTGAGAATTCCATTAAAGGAAGCAGAGTTTCCCTCACCACTGCAGCAGAGGATGTGCAAGCGGGTCCAGTTTGTCCATCTGTTTCTTTATTTCAACATAAGGGCCCTGTAAAATATGAGTTTAGGTGTCACGCATTCCCTTGACCAGGACTATGTAACACTGATGTAGATGTTGTGAGTCGCAGTCATAGCGCCACCAACTGGCATCAGGAAGCGTGTCACTTACATCAGGCTATGAAATCGGCTTCTTATATTTACCAGAATTGCTTCAAACTTGGTGACAATAATGTGAAGAACACTAAAATAATTCTTGATATCTCAAATAGTGCTGCGTCTATAAAATGTGAAGCTATTTTTTATGGAAGCTTAATTTCACTATTTTTCACCATTCTTTTTTTCCCTAGAATTATGAGTTTATTTCTTGCAATTGCGAGTTAACATCTCGCAATTCTGACCTTTTTCTTAGAATTCTGAATTTACATCTCTCAAATTCGAATTTTCCCTATGAATTGTGAGTTATTAATTCACTATTGCAAGTTTACATCTTGGCAACTGTGAGATTACATCTTGGAATTGAGACTTTTTCTCTCAGAATTGCAAGTTATTAACTGGCAACTGCGAGTTTACATCTCACAATTATGATTTTTTTCTTAGAATTCTGAGTTTACATCTCGCAATTCTAACTGTTTCCTTAGAATTCAGAATTTATATCTCGCAATATGGACTATTTCCCTGAGAAATGCAAATTATTAACTTTTAGAGAGAGAGAGAGAGAGATGCAGAGCGTGTGTAGAGCAGGGAGACGCGAGGAACAGTATTAAGAACTGCTGCTTTAGAACATTGATTTTGAAACCTGTGAATCCATTAGAATCGTTAGAAGACAGAATCGCGATTCATATATGAATAGATTTTTACGTGCACCTCTAGTTTTCTCTTCCTCTTCTCTAAAGCAGCGCAGCATGGCCTCGCCCTCTTTGCTGCCTTCTCCCGCGGGCAGGGTTTATCTGGGTTTGTGATGTCACGAACCCGGGAAGTAACTCGTTGTAGTCCCTACCAGCCGTTTTTGTAGGCATTAAACTGACAGAATTTTAAAAGACGATATCTCCGTTTACATTGAACTTTCAGCTTCGTAACTTTGCAGATATTGTTTATGCTCAAACAGCAACATTACACACTAACTAACGTTAAAAAAGTGAAATCGCAATGAACCACCCCTTTAACTCGCTATTGCAAGTTTACATCCTGCAATTTAGACTTTTTTCTTAGAATTCAGAGTATACATCTTGTAATTCTGTTTTTGATCTTTGAATTACTCACTTGTGTTATTTCTCGGATTGATGTAATGCTGTCTAATGCTCTCTGTAGTCGCTCGTAGCTTCTTTTCTATAAGTGGAAAATTAATGAAGAAGGTCTCAGAGTCATTGTAAAAATGAAATGTGAAAATTCTAAAACTGATATTTATTCATTTTATCTGATAAAGTATCTACCTTCGGATTGAAGGCCAGAGACTTGGGGTCATGAGGGTCAACAACAGAGGGGTAAGGGTCAAAGATGATGCTTTTACGGGCAGATTCAAGTGCAGCATGACACATTGCCACCAGCAGGTCCACTACCTGTACAAAAACATATTATATAAATTATATAAAATACTAATCTTATATAAAGGTCATATATAAACAATAGAAGTCTCTGGTATAACTTCATTTAGCAATATAAATGTGTGTGTGATACCTCAGCTCCAGTAGCTACGTCTTCTGCAGCTCCTGACATGACACCCAGAGTATTGAAGGAGAACACGCACAGTTCTCTCGTACAAACAGCAGGCTGAACAATACACGTACACAATAGAAACTGAGATGATAGTTTTATGGCTTTACTGGTGTATTTTAATGGAGATTTCCAAGAATCTGTTGTGTACCTTTAGCATGGAACCATTCTGAAAGACATGCTGTTCATCACAGACAACACAATAATCATTCAGAGTGGGGATCCTCTGCTCTGAGTACTTCATAACCTAGAGGACAAAAGAAGATGGATAATTAGGTTGTAATATCATTAAAAGGAAAGGATGCAGAGAAAGAGAGATTTGCGATTGAAACAGCCAAACACAATCACAAGTATGCAAATAATTGCAAGAAAGAAGACTAATTGCAATTCATTATGCAAATATTAGAAGGGTTTTACATTTAACTCTGTTGAGGTTTACCTGCACGAGGAAGCCGTACTCCAGGGTTGGGATGCTCTTGCAGTGAATGAGAGCTTGTGAGGAGAAGAAGAGCTGAATGAGCTGCCTGGTGGTGATGTGCACCGTGGATCTCGAGTCTGGGACGGCCACAGTCTATTGAAACAGCAATCATTTTACATAAATTGCTTAATATATTTATAAATAAAAACAATGTTTCCCACAAACATATCTTCAACATTGATAACCAAAAGAAATATTTCTTGAGCACCAAAACCAGCATATTAGAATAATTTCTGAAGGATCATGTGACACTGAAGACTGGAGTAATGATACTGAAAATTCAGCATTGCATCACATGAATAAATTACATTTTAGAATATACTAAAATCGAAAACAGTTATTTTAAATTGCAATGATTTTTCACAATATTACTGATTTTAATAAATGCACCCTTAATACGCATAATAACTTCTTTTAACAACATTAAAAATTCTTACCGACCCCAAAGTCTAAACGATACATATATACATCATTATAATATATAGGCATGTTCAAACGCACTTGTCCAATTGGGCTGGAGGTGTGCAGTTCTCCTTTGGTGCAGGACATGGAACGGCTCATCAAGCGGGTCGCTCTCAACTCCTGTCCTGCTGGCCTTGTTTTCACCCCAGGGCCCTGAATCAGAGGAACACTGGAGCACCTGAGGAACAAATAAAATTATATAAAGAAAGAAAATGACGAAAGTGACGTGGCCAAGTATGGTTACCCATACTAGAATTAGTGCTCTGCATTTAACCCATCCTACGTGCACACACACAGCAGTGAACACACACACACCGTGAACACACACCCGGAGCAGTGGGCAGCCATTTATGCTGCGGTGCCCGGGGAGCAGTTGGGGGTTCGGTGCCTTGCTCAAGGGCACCTCAGTTGTGGTATTGAAGGTGGAAGAGAGCGCTGTACATTCACTCCCCCCACCTACAATTCCTGCCGGATCTGAGGCTCGAACTCGCAACCTTTGGGTTACGAGTCCGACTCTTTAACCATTAGGCCACAACTCCCCCATAATATACATATTATATATCAATTTTTTTTTATATCTGGTACATTTACTCTCTGGAGTGTTTTGAATCTTACTTGGTTATCGGTGAGAAGATGCTAAGTCCAGCCCTGAACTTCTTGATAGTTCCTCCAGCCTTAAACCAGCTGTGTCTCTTCCTCTGTTGGGCATTCAGGAACTCATTGCTTAGATGTTTCCATTGATTAGATATAAACATGCTGAGAATTCTGTGAGAAGACATCAATATTTGTTGGTGTAATATATGCAGTATGTCATGCTGTACAAAACAGAATAGAAAGACTATTTACCTTTTAAGCTGAACCCCAAGGCAGAAACCATCTTTACAATTTGGCTGGAACACCTCCACAGTGGGTTCTGGAAGAGGTTGAGATGCTTCAGTTGAGTCACTTCCTGTCTTTTGTAACTGACATAGTCATTTATTACTCACCTGGTCCATCTAGATACTGGGACAGTGAGAAGCGAAGGCGTAGAATGATTGGCTCTGTCCTCGTGACCTTCCATGCTGATGCCACCTCCTCCTGCAAACATACGTAGGGCATGTGAACTTTTTGCTATGTAAATATGCATATCAGGGTATGTATTTTCAGTGGCAGGCAGAATCTAGCTAATATATTACAGTATCTGTGGATCTCTTACATCCAGGAAGCTGATGTTAATGTGTAGATCAATATCGACATCATCAATGGTCTCATACTCCCTGAAATATAGACAGTAGACACAAAGTCTGAGAAGTTATACAAGCTTTTTGGGACAATAATAAAAATAATAAAATAAACATTAGATTAACAATGACCTTAACAAATGATGTAACCCTTATATGTAAGCTCAATTGATTTCCTTTTATTCACACACTGTATTAGCATTTCATGGGGCTTGTAGAAGCTTTGTGGCTCTAAATGTACCTGACAGAAATGGCACTTTCAGAATAGATGTCCCTCACTGCACCAACATCAATGTCCAACTGTGGATGTCGACTCAGGTCAGTGGCATAATGACCCTGCAAAGAAACAGGCTTTGCCATAAGAGTCCATTCAGGGTACATTTCATGTCTATTGATGATAATTATACTTTTCCCAAAACTTTTATTTATTCACTTAGTGAAAGCATATTATAATCTTACACAAATATTTTGTGCATCCTGTGTTTCTGTTTGCTTGAAATTGTCTTGATGTCCCAGTTTTTTTTCAGTGCCTGTTTTTGAAGTGAGTCTTGAGTTCCACATAAATCTGTATCTATATTAAATTTATTTCTAAACTATTACTTCTGTACATTTTTTAGACTGCATTTAAATGCATTTATTTACAATATATATTATCATGTCATCAAACATTGTCAAATATGTTACTGAACCAGAGTAATTTTAGTATCATTAATATATGATACTATTACATATTTTTTGTAATTTTTTATAAAGTTTTAGTCGATTTAGTTTTAGTCATCTTCACAACTAGTTTCTCTATATTTTATTTCAGTTAATATTGATTTCATTTCAAGTAATGACATTACTGACAAATTTTTAAGTTTTAGTTTTAGTTAATGACAATAACCCTTTACTAAATGAAAAAACTCTGAGGTGGACATTTTGAACACTACTGTAAGTGCCCTCTCATTTTTTCTCTCTCAAAATTTCATTTACAATAACCTGTTGTCAAAGAGTATATTAACTGACCATCGATTACACTGAGTACATTGGTTTCCAATATTTTAATGATTTCAGTTCAAATATATTTTCAAATTTGAGGTTAACCTGATCAAGAAAATAATATGTGGTTGATCAGACAAGGCCTGCCATTAAAATGATAGAAATGGTGAGACTCAACTGTTACCTGTCAAGTTAAACTAAGCCAGTTCTTGGATAACATAGTCATCTTGACTCTACTGTGATTACTGAAGATGATAAATTGTTTGCCATATTTTTTTTTAAATCACAATTTTACTTTCTATGTTCTTTTACTGAGAAAGCACCATTTTATGAGCTTAACCAAGCAAAAATAATGTCCCGAATGATTTGTTCATTTGTTATTCATTAACAGGGGACAGATACTCTTCATTTTGGCAAGAAATCTGAAGCAAGTTCAGGTAATCTGAAAAACTGCAACCATCTGCTGCTCCTCATACTAGGGAGCCGCCCATAAACCTACACTAATCCCCTGAAAACCCCACAATGCACTTTGGTAACCCCAATGTATTCTACAATCAGCCACTGTAGTATGTAGATAGACAAAACAGATAATAGATCAAATACACCTAGATAGATAGATAAAATACAAGAATGAATTAACAAAATGAGGTTTGTTTGCTAATTTAGCAAATTAGCTTGAGGTTTAGCGGGCATTTCAAGTAAATTTTTTGGTAATATGCTAACCTGGGCTCCGTAGAAGAAATCCTCACCATCGCTGTCACCATCCAAGTCCTCGTCGCTCCAGAATTGCTCACCGATGCTCTGAAAGAGTTAGCACAGGTCAATCACAGCTAATTTCCCCTGTGATGCGCTAATTCCTTACCCATCCCCCATTCATTAGACACTGAATAGCCTTTATCAGTCGGTCTGTAATCTACTCAACGGGGTGACTGTGTCAGTAGGGCGGCCTACATCTTAGATCATCAGCTTGGACTGGCTATATTGTCCATCAAAGCACCTTATTTGCTTTAAGTGGATTAAATAATGGTTAGCATGTGTGATTTTCATACCATGCTGTTCATAGATGCTGCTCTAGCGAGTTTCCTCTGCCAAATTCATCCATTCCAGCTAAGTGTGGTTAGGCTAGGCTGGTTTGGGAAGTCAACACAGGTTGAACTAAGCCGATGGAAGGGCTGCGCTCATTTTCTGGAGTAAATTAGCAGTCATCTCCATGGCAAACTGCTGACACAATGCAAGAGAGGCAATTCATTAAACGTCCATTTAGAGTTCATTTGTGTCACCACATATTGACTCCGCATGTGGCGTACATTACAAAACACTTATAATGCACTTTAAATTATTGCATGCATGCATTTGATGTGGTGAGTTAAATTTGATTTTAAGTACAGCAATTTATTAATATATATTTTTATATTAAATACAGTATTTTTATATTTAGATTTAAATTTAATAATTAAATGTAGACAGACGTCATTTGTCCTGTAATACACCTGTTGGATGCTCTGAAAATGTCTTTAAACAATAAATGAACAAAAATATGAATGAATAAAACATAATAAAGCACAAGAAGCCATAAAATATTAAACAAGTTCAATTGCATTAGTTCTGCACTATAATAGAAAATTCCAGTCTCACCTCTTGAAGACAAGGCAGATGCTTTGAACGAGGTCTGCTTGTCATAACCTTAACGAAACATCCCAAAATGCCCCACACCAGGAAGCGTATATATGTAAAGTGAGTCAGCTGACACAAAGAATCTTAATTAGAAATGTGTACCCCTATTGTCTAGCCGTCGCTGTTTATCGTCTGGCTCCTCTCACGGGCTGCTTTTCTCGCTGTCTCCGCTGTCTGCTTTCTCCCTGACAACACACGACAGCTCGGGCATGCTCAGTGCGTGCCGTCGGGGTCATGAGACCGGCAGCTGACAGCCAGTGTGCTAGTAGCAGGAGGGGAGGAGGGGTGAGCAGAAAAGACATGCCTGGTAGATCATGGAACAGAAGATCAAATGCAACCCCCTGCATGTCCATGACCTGATATTTTCATCTTTTAATGCATGCTGTGTTATACACCGCCTGACTCTGTGTGTGTGTCATTCATTTAATAAAGGCTGGATCTGTTGCTCTCTTCTATTGTGTTGAGTCATGTTTTCCATTCTATATTCTATTCTAATTTGTTCTATTTGTCTGTGCAGTGCTGTGTTCTATTTTATTATATCTTTTTAATGAAGTTATTTTATGGTGTGTTCTATTCAATTATATTCTATTGTGTTGTGTTGAATTCCATTTCCGTTTTGTTTTTTATATGTTGAGTTCTATCTTTTATTCAAATGTGTTCTATTCAAAGTTATATTCTGTTGTGTTCTAATCTATTGTGTTGAGTTTTGTTTTCTATTCTATATTCTGTTCTAATTCATTCGATTTATTTTCGCAGTGTTGTTTTCTATTTGATTGTTTTATTCTATTCAGTCCTTTTATGCTGTTCTGTTCTATTCTATACTATTGTGGTGAGTTGAATTCTATTATGTGTTCTCATCTAGTTTGTTTTTCTGTTTCATGTTGAGTTCTAATCTACTGTTTTATTGTGTTATATTCTTTTATGGTGTGTTAAGTTCTATTGCTTTCTAGCCTACTGTGTTGAATTATATTTTCTATTATATATTATGTTCTAATGCATTCTATTTATTTTTGCAGTATTTTCTATTTCATGTTTTATTCTTTTCAGTTATTTTATGCTGCGTTCTGTTCTGTTCTATTCTATTCTGGTGAGTTGAATTCCATTATGTGTTCTCATCTATTTTGTTTTTTTCTGTTTGATGTTGAGTTCTACTGTTTTATTCAATTTCTGTTATTTTATGGTTTCTATTCTGTTGTGTTCTAGCATATTGTGTTGAGTTCTGTTTTATTCTATGCTATTCTTTTGTTTCAAGTTTAATTTTTATGCTGTGCTGTTTTATTTAGTTCTATTCTGGTGTCTTCTGGAGGTCTGTTCTAATGTTTTATTCAATTCTGATTTATGGTGTGTTAAGTTCTGTTTTATTGTGCTGAGTTATTTTATTCTGTTATGATCTTTTGTAGTAAGTTGAATTCCATTCTGTGCTCTGTTTGAATTTCAATTCTATCTTGTTCTATTCTGCTGAGTTGTGTGGTGTGGTGTTCTGCTCTTCGGTGATGTGTTAAGTTCTATTCTATTCTATTTTGAGTTGTATTTTATGGTATTTTGTTCTTCTGTGGTGAGCTGAATTTTATTCTGCTTTCTATTCTATTCGGTTCTTCTGTGGTGTGTTGAGCTCTATTTTATTCTGTTGTGTTCTGTTCTGTTATTTTACATTCTATTCTATACTACTGTTGTATTATATCATATCTGGATCTGCCGAGTTGTGTTCTGTTAAATTTTTCTATTATGTTGTGCTTTGTTTTCTGTTCTATTGTATTCTGTTCAATCCTATTTTGTTCTATTCCTTATAGCAAATGCATTGGTGTTACACGTAATGTTTGATAGATTATAAAGATGATAAATATTCATATGAATTGTCATGACGGGCCTCAGTCCTCAACAAAAACATCCTGTTTCAGGAATGTTAAGCTTTCAACAAAGTCATTTTCATAATTGATCATTTAACAAGAAATTTGAGAGGATAAAAATAGGTTGCTTTGTGACAGTACCTCATCATTTAGTCATTCTAGTGGGTGGGAAACAACACAGGAGATCTGAAAGAGATGGATGGCGATGGAGACTTTGTGAGTGCGGCCCATTTAATTGTCAGAAAGGTACAAAGCAGAGGAGATCATGAACACACAAGAATTTAACCTCCCAATGGCCCAAACCCTCCCACTTGTATCATGTTCACATTACACCAAGGGTGTTTTTTTAGACATACATCTTTCCAGTACCAAAATCAGTACCAAAATCATTGCTTTTACAATATGCAAGTTAAGTCATTTGTGTGATCTCAGACACCAAGCACCCACCTAAAAACTGCATAAAGTCACTGTGTACATTACAGATGGTTCAAAATGTCACAATTAAAATGTAAAATGTTTAATTAAGACTCTCTCTGGTAAGAAAATGTGCTGTCTGTCATTCTATTACATAACTGAGAATGGGATTAAGAAGCAGTAATACTAGTTAAAATTCTAAAAATACATTTAAATAATACAATGTTTTACTAAATAAATATCTGTATGCATAAATATCTATATCAACTAATCTATGATCAACTAATATCTATATGCATAAATAATTAAATACTTGATAAAATAATGAAATAAAATTAATTATCAGAATCAGAATCAGAAGAGCTTTATTACCAAGTATGTTTACACACACAAGGAATTTGACTTGACGACAGGAGCTTCCAGTGTAGAAGAAAGTACAAACATAGTGCAGACATACAAGACATTATCTTAAATGCCTCGACAATACTCATGAGCCATTTGTCTTATATCAGTTCTTTGTGGGATGTATGAAATGGCACATTTGCGCCTGCATATGCACCAGAGACAGCTGAACCTCAATTAAAAGCAAATGGATCTAAATTTAGCACAACAAACCTTATCTCCTAATGTCTGGAGATACGAAAGAACAGTGGATGTGTCAAAAAGAGTATAGGGAAAATATCTACTGTTTGACAAGAGTGCTGGCTGCTGCAGATGTAGATTAAAAGTAGGGTGTGCCTTGAGCGCAGGGTGTTTAAATATAACCTCTGCATATAGAGAAGCTGTCCAAGCAGCTAACCTGATGTTTTCAGTATTGTCTATTGTCCACTAGAGGGAGATAGTGGTTGTCTTACTCATAGAAACATCAACAGAAGAGGGAAAAGAAAAGAACAGAACAGAACAGAACACAGCATAAAATAACTAAATAGAATAAAACATGAAATAGAAAATACTGCAAAAATAAATAGAATGCATTAGAACAGAACATATAATAGAAAATATAATGCAACACAATAGGCTAGAACACAACAGAATAGAACTTAACACACCATAAAAGAACACATTCAAATAAAAAATAGAATAGAACTCAGCATAAATAAAAAAAACAAAACAGACAAGAACACAAAATGGAATTCAACACAACACAATTCAACAGCATGCATTAAGAGATGAAAATATCAGGTCATGGACATGCAGGGGGTTGCATTTGATCTTCTCATTTTGCATCTTTAAAAATTAATAAAAGAAAAGAAAAGAAAATTTGACCACAGAATGTTCTCAAAGAATGCAAATCTTGCAAACAATTATTATATATATATTAACATTTAAATAATAATAATAATATTATTATACTTATTTTCTGTATCAACCCATTAATATCCCTCTCTTTCTTTTTTTAAAGAATTTACTTTTTTTCATATGAATTTACCACACTATACATTTTTCAGGTCCAACCAGACAACAACAACAACAACAACAGTATTATTATTGTTATTAACAGTCATTTAATAATTGAATTTAGTAACTAAATTGAATTGAAATGATTAATCATTTAAATATTTAAAATTTTGTTTTCAAGGGTGAAAACAAATCTTTAGGTAGTTATCTCTCTTCAAATTAAATCAGGTAAAACATGGTGTGCTAGATGACTATATTATTACATGAATGCATCAAAGAGATTGACATTAAAAATACATTAAGTAATATTCATGTTAATAGCAGATGCTTTCTAATGACTTATTACTTATAATACTTAATACATTACCAGTACATGCAGCTTGTGAAGTATGTATGAAACTGCAAACCTGTAATTCAGATCAGTGTGTGATATGATAAAGCAAAGCCAGATGTATTTTAAGAGCTTAGCTTTTCATATGTCACTTGTCAAGGGTTTCCTTGAGACGTGCCCTTTGACATGGAGAACATACTGTACCAGAAAATGGAAATGGCCTCCCTAGAAGTGAATCAAAACGTCTTTGCATAGAAACCAACATTTTTCATTCAACATTTCAAAACATGATTGTTAGCGGGCAAAACTGTACGGCCTAATGTTAGACAGGAAGCTATGCAGTTTTAAAGGTCACCCATACTGTTACCCATCAATCAACATATCTGCAACATGAGCAACGACTTTCTAGTTTGCACACTGAAGGGTAAGTATGTGTAGTGAATTTAATGGCAGACTAATTATGACAAACATTATTTGGATATATATGCAAAGCATCAGATGATCTGACCTTTCCTACTCAGTGGAAATGGCATACAGAATAGGCAACAAATCAAACAAGCAGCTCTTCTATCATGGGCATCAAAGTTTCAGCTGTAGGCCTTGAGCTATTATTAGTACTCCAGATGCCTGCAATGGCTGGTATTTATGAAATGACATGAAGGAGTGGTGAGGGTGTTGGGTAAAGTCATATGTAGGTCTACTGTAAACAGTGAGGAGTGAAATAGAATCGTACAATACTTTAATTAGCAATAAAAATCAAATAGAATGGCAAATATTACATGGAAATCTGAATTCATACAATAAAATGTTTGTAACGTGTCTTTTGTTCATTAAATCCCAGATTGAAACGATCACACTCACTCATATGACGGTATCAAGTTCCTATTAATCTGCGGGTGGTTGAAAAAACGTTCGCGCCAAGTGAAATAGTCCTCAATATATATAATAACTATATCAATATTATCAATATATCGTAGTATTAATATTATTAATGTAATCATTTGTACTCAATTCAAAATATTGAACTATACAGACCCTGTCGGAGGAACACGTTGAGCTGTGGGAAGTAGTGCCGGTCAGTTCAGACTGGATAAATTGAGACAGTGGCGGAGGAAGAGAGCAGAAGTTCCTGCAGGCGTGCGTTCATCTTCTGAGGTAGGAGGCACTGAACTCGACAGATCATTTAAACAGGGCAGATCAAAATAGATGCTACGAACTGAAAGCACGCTTTGGCTGTTTGGAGACTTTTTTTTGCTAATAAAATAAATGTATATTTGGACCTTAAATGTGATTAGAAATAAATATTTTTGTCCACGTAATTAAAAAGTTAACCTGCCACTTTCTGGTGAAAATTGGAGCTGAAATGTATGAATAAATTACACATTTAGTTGACATTATATTTATTATCAAATAATAATTATTATGTTTATACACTATATTTTATTACTTTGGCAAGTTGTCTTTTTACCCTGAGATCACAGTGTGCTGGAATGTGTGTGTGCAGTCATGCATTTAAACACACTCTTCCTTTCTGGCTCAGGCAGTGCTGCCACTGGCTCTCATGTACTCTTTTGAACCATGTTAAACCATATATGATAGCTTTGTGCAAGCATCTGAATGAAATTTAAGTCATTATTCTGTGAATATCTTGCTTTGTTCAGCCTTGTGAAAAGGAAGTGTGCTTAATTGCATTGAATGTGCACTTGTAGTGTACTTGTAGTTTAATAAAAATGTACTTGCTGATAATATAAAATTAAGGAAAAGGCCACTTAAGTGTACTAAAAGATATAGCACTTTCATGACTGTTTCTAAACACAAGTACACTTTGTAAAAAAAATACTTTGTATTAATGTCATTCATTTTAGTTTTGCGTTAAAAGTACTTTTTAATCATTTTATTGTGCTTTAAAGAGGTAAACTAATTTTGATTCATTGACTAACACACTAAACACATGTAATACTTAATGATTTTAACCGTATAGTGTGTTATTTGATTTTATATTTAAAGTTAATATATATTAAATGTACTTAAGTGTAACTTTATCATTACAAATGAGTAATTACAAAAAGTGTTCAAATTTATTACATACAAGATATAATAGAAATGAAATTATATGTAAGTTTACAATAAATGCTTGTCAGTATATTCAGCAGTTCACTTTAACCATATTTCAAGTGTAAAAGAAATTGCATGAAGATATGTACTTAAGTCCTGCTTAAGAGGGTCTAAAAAGCACTGTTAAGTTCAATTACTTGCGGTTAATATAAATTTAAACTGTAATACATTTTCATTTAATTGCAATTAACATGCAGTTAAGTGTCGAAAAACATTACATTCAGTTTCCACTTAAGTATATATTAAAGGTGTTTCCAAAGGCCTGAGGATAAAAAATCACTGTCCTTGCATAAGTCATCTAAATCTGCTTTGTCCATACTTCTTCCAGGACTTTTCTAGCAGTCGTGGACGCAGCTCCAGCCATGTCTCAGACAAAGACTACGGGCTCTGCCTTCATTCAGACGCAGCAGATGCACGCTGCTATGGCAGAAACCTTCCTGGAGCACCTGTGTCTGCTGGACATCGACTCTGAACCTACAGTGTCTCGCAACACAGGCATCGTCTGCACGCTCGGTCAGTGAACCATGTAAGGAACTTAAAGGAATAGTTCACCCAAAAATGAAAATTTGCTGAACATCTACTCATCCTCAGGCCAAGATGTAGATGAGTTTGTTTCTTCTTTGTAACAGATTTGGAGAAATTTAGCATTACATCACTTTCTCACCAAATGGATGCTCTGTAGTGAATGGGTGCCGTCAGAATGAGGGTCCAAACAGCTGATAAAAACATCACAATAATCCACAAGTAAACCACATGACTCCAGTCCATCAGTTAAACTTGTAGATTATTGTGATGTTTTTATCAACTGTTTGGACTCTCATTCTGACGGCACCCATTCACTTCAGAGGATCCACTGGTGAGCAAGTGATTTCTCCATATCTGTTCCAATGAAGAAACAAACTCAAATACATCTTGGATGGCCTGAGGGTGAGTACATTTTTCATTTTTGGGTGAATTATTCCTGTAATGCAAATTGTCCCTCAAAACTTTTTCAATATGTTTTATCTTAATGCAGGACCTGCCTCCCGATCTGTGGAGATCCTGAAGGAGATGATCAAGTCCGGCATGAACGTTGCACGTTTGAACTTCTCCCACGGAACTCACGAGGTACATGATCTCCTCCATTATGGAACATTTTCCGTTAGCCTCCACCGTAATGATCCACACATGTATTGTTATATCATCAAGCAGTCTAATAATCTTGTAATAAGAGTTATTCAGAAAGTCTTCATCCTCTTAGCCAGCCTTGACTTTCGTACAATCGTAGATCCTCGATTATTGTGGCATTTCCCTCGTGCCTCTTCAAATGTGAGAAGTTGTAAGCTGATCTTGTTAGCCGCTCTGATCTGTCTGGTCGATACACTGAGTAGAGTCATCTTGAGCTCAAGCCAGAGCGTGAGTTTAGACTGCGCTGACCTCTCCCCTTTAAAAGTCATGGCTTTTTACCTATTTTTGCATGGCACCACTGCCACGGATTACTACATTAAGCATGCTATCATGAAGTGAGGCAGTAGATATTTGTGGCTGGGGGATTGAGAAGGTCAGTAGCTCATGTTCGTCTTTAATAAAGTTGCTTCTAGTATATGATGAGTAAATATGAGCACAGAGTTCATTGAGAGTTCCAGTGAGCATTACTAAGCATCTTCATGTTGTAACTTCTTTTTAAAACCATTTAAAAAATAGAAAATCAAGATTGAAACATTAAATATTTGTAAAAATGTAAAATCAATACTATACAATGTATTAAATTAAAAGCATAAAAAAAATAGTTCCGGTATTATTATTTTTTTTATTATGGATTTATTTATTAATCTGTTTGGTTTAGTGAAACGTAATTTCAAAACATACAAATAATTTACTATATATATATATATGTGTGTGTGTATGTGTGTGTGTGTGTTTAAATCTTTTATTTTATTTTCACCTTTTATTTACTTTTATTTTTATTTTATTTACATTAAAAATATGCCATTTACAGTTTGCACATTGCAAGGTATTTATTAAAAAATCATGGAATTTTTAATCTTGTTATAGTTTAACAAAACTTAATTTAAAACTTTCTACCTCAATAAAAAATTTATTAATATTTTACTTTATTATAATATATAATATACATGCTATAACTTGCATATATTTTACTTTTATTTACTTTAAAATATTTCTTTATTTTCTCATCCTATTTATCATCTTATTAATTATTAAATGTTAATACTAACATTAATATTAGTTTTTATTTCAACATTTGTTAATACTAATATCATACTTGGACCTGAGATCACTGTAAATTTACCATATTTAACCTGAGATTTCATTTTTTAATTTCATATTGATCCATTTTTATCTGAAATTCATAATCAGTCACAATACAACACTATCCTTTTGTATAATTTCACTCTAAATTGTATTAAATAATTTACCTTTTTATTGTTAATATAGCATTGTTAGAATTAGCCACTCTCATGGACACTTCTACATGTAGTGATCTGGTTGTGAAGTGACTGTCTTGTTATTTGCTTACACACAGTCTGTAATCAGAGAGACGACAACCAAAATTTGACTTAACTATCAGTAAAGCTGTCAGACCAGTCATATTAATTCACAGAAAAACTAAGAGTTTGAGATCAGAAGCAGTCAGATGTTTCTGTGGGTCACTAGAAACATAACCTGTCTCACCCTGATTCTATATATATACCTCTGTCTCTGCCTCGAGCCTGCGATTGAACACACAGGACAAAGACACTGACTGAGCTGTAGACTTTACAGCAAAAAAGACATGTTCGCTTTGTTCTTTTTATTTTGTAACATCGTGTTCAGTAGAGTTTTACAGGTCTCAGAGCTCACGCTGCCAATCGATAAAACTTCCTTCTGAGAGCAAGAATCAGCGTACAAGCAGAACAAAGAAGAAAACATAGTCTAAAAAGAGTTTTTAATGTTTCTAAAGGACAAAAATGGTGCCATACATAAATGACATGATGAAGTTGGGTTGCTTGGAGATCTCAGAGCCAATGTAATATAATATAATATGGGATCCTGGACCACAAAACCAGTCATAAGTAGCACAGATATATTTATAGCAATAGCCAACAATACATTGTATGGGTCAAAATGATCCATTTTTCTTTTATGCCAAAAATAATTAGGATATTAAGTAAAGATCATGTTCCATGAAGATATTTTGTAAATTTCCTACTGTAAATATATCAAAATAGATCTGAAGGATATATATCTTTAAAGGCTTTTCAAATAGTTGTATCTCGGCCAAATATTGTCCTATCCTAACAAACCATACATCAATGGAAAGCTTCTTTATTCAGCTTTCAGGTGATCTGAAAGCTGAATATTTCAATGATTTCATTGAAAATGAACCCTTATGACTAGTTTTGTGGTCCAGGGTCACAGATAATATGTAAGGGATAATCAACGGTTTGCCGTGCATTAAAGGATTTTAAATGCACGATGTGAAGGCCAAGAACCACCCGACGCGAAGCGCATCTGTGCATTTAAAATCCTTTAATGCACGGCAAGATGTTGATTATACCCGCGTATTACACGGCTCTGTGGAATACTTGATTCTAATTGGTCAGTCGCAACATTCTGAGGTATGTTATCCCTCGATAACAACCGGTAAAAGCTGATAACACAGGTTCATCCGGGTAACTGAAGTCGGCACTGTACTCTTGCTAGGAACGTTTTTTTTTCTTGGTGGAAGCTTTGCGTTTGTTTAGCTAATAAAATATTAAAACTCGATTCAAAATGGTGTACAGTTATTTAATTATGTCATCCTGGTATCGCGGACGCACTCTCTCGTTTCATACAAACACAGCTGCTGCCATTTTGCTACGATTGTTTTGTACGCTGTAATGGATTATAAGAGAACTAACAAACTAAAAAAAGAATGATCACTGATGTGAACTTGATTCGTCTGATGGGATAGGCCTTATTTATTTGCAGTGTAAATAACTGCCTGACTCACTGTGTCAATAACTAAACATTTTGAAAATAAAACGTGCATATCTTACAGTTTCCTTCAAATTCTATCTTTTAAATATGGTGTTTGTCACAATATTGGGAAGAGCACGAAAGGGGTTCTCATTAGGCTACTGTCTGTGCGCAACACTTGTGAACAGAGGTTCTAGAGTACTGTCATCAAACCTGTTCAAACCAGCCAATGGACTGTTGGATCAACAAGTGCATCTTTATGTCTGTCGTTACCGTATATGTTCCAAAGCCATCAGACGAATCAAGTTCACATCAGTGATCATTCTTTTTTTAGTTTGTTAGTTCTCTTATAATCCATTACAGCGTACAAAACAATCGTAGCAAAATGGCAGCAGCTGTGTTTGTATGAAACGAGAGAGTGCGTCCGCGATACCAGGATGACATAATTAAATAACTGTACACCATTTTGAATCGAGTTTTAATATTTTATTAGCTAAACAAACGCAAAGCTTCCACCAAGAAAAAAAAACGTTCCTAGCAAGAGTACAGTGCCGACTTCAGTTACCCGGATGAACCTGTGTTATCAGCTTTTACCGGTTGTTATCGAGGGATAACATACCTCAGAATGTTGCGACTGACCAATTAGAATCAAGTATTCCACAGAGCCGTGTAATACGCGGGTATAATCAACATCTTGCCGTGCATTAAAGGATTTTAAATGCACGATGTGAAGGCCAACGACGCGAAGACGCGAAGCGCATCTGTGCATTTAAAATCCTTTAATGCACGGCAAGATGTTGATTATACCCGCGTATTACACGGCTCTGTGGAATACTTGATTCTAATTGGTCAGTCGCAACATTCTGAGGTATGTTATCCCTCGATAACAACCGGTAAAAGCTGATAACACAGGTTCATCCGGGTAACTGAAGTCGGCACTGTACTCTTGCTAGGAACGTTTTTTTTTCTTGGTGGAAGCTTTGCGTTTGTTTAGCTAATAAAATATTAAAACTCGATTCAAAATGGTGTACAGTTATTTAATTATGTCATCCTGGTATCGCGGACGCACTCTCTCGTTTCATACAAACACAGCTGCTGCCATTTTGCTACGATTGTTTTGTACGCTGTAATGGATTATAAGAGAACTAACAAACTAAAAAAAGAATGATCACTGATGTGAACTTGATTCGTCTGATGGCTTTGGAACATATACGGTAACGACAGACATAAAGATGCACTTGTTGATCCAACAGTCCATTGGCTGGTTTGAACAGGTTTGATGACAGTACTCTAGAACCTCTGTTCACAAGTGTTGCGCACAGACAGTAGCCTAATGAGAACCCCTTTCGTGCTCTTCCCAATATTGTGACAAACACCATATTTAAAAGATAGAATTTGAAGGAAACTGTAAGATATGCACGTTTTATTTTCAAAATGTTTAGTTATTGACACAGTGAGTCAGGCAGTTATTTACACTGCAAATAAATAAGGCCTATCTCCATTCAAATATACATTCTAAAATATATGTTTACTTTATAGGCAAAATTGCATACATTTGAATAGCAATGTGATGTCTCAAAAAGGATTTATAGTACGTATCTCATATTTTCCTAACGTATTGTACCCCATGGTTAAACATGGTGTCACGTGGATGGAATATGCATGGAAATGATATGCAGATGACGTTATGCATATTAAAACTAGGCGTTGTAAGCTCCATATATGGCTATTTCGGGGAGGAGATGGGGTGGAGATTCATGTACGCACAATCTTCCGCTGACTGGGTATTACAAAGGGTATTTTTCGCAGGTTCTGGCGTACGCATGGCTTTATAAATCTCTAAACGTCTGTACATACTGTAACGAATCAGCTCATGACAGGAAATATGAATAATTAACCATAACTATGGGGACAAAGAGTGGGTTATCCTACTCACATTCCTGGGTGAGTCATAAAACCAGTGATATCATGATTAGTTGTCATGGTGACCAAGGGGGGATGGTGTTCAGCAGAAATCCTGGCATCCAGTTTATTGAGTGAGGGGACTGTGACGATTTGTTAATCTAATGAATAATTGATTTGTTAAATCAAATAAAAATTAGTGTGTCAGATTGGTCGAGACGCTACAATACGCAAAATCTAGCTTTTGTGCGTATGCACACATTTAGGATGAAATCTACGTAAAGTTTTATACATGAGGCCCCAGGTCACTAAATGGAACATTTTTGAAAACTGCTGCCAGGGTGAAGATTTTCAAATCTTCTTTGAAAATCTTTTCCGGTTGCAGTGTTATCGTGAAGACAGCGAAACCGGAGATTTTGGCCTGCACTGTTATCTCCGCCTACAGGAAACTTTTTCATGCTTCTGATTGGCCAACATGGCTTTACGGTTGAGATTATATCGCCACCTGTTGGTTTGGCATGCTCTTGACAGTCCTTCATAGCATGCTTTTGCGTTTTCATGTGGACGGAGATTTTTTTTAAACGGAAGAAGGAAAAACTTAGTTTATAAAAATACCCGCGTACGTGTGGACATGGCCTAAATCTGATAGGAGAATTATTATTATAAGATGTTGGAAGTACCTTTTCATTCCATAGCAAAGACAGAATTGCAAGATGAAATCTCAGAATTGCAAGAAAATAATAATACATAATATAATTAGTGATGTCAATCGATAAAAAAAATTAACTAATCACACATTTTTTCTGAAATTAATCGAAATTAAAAAAGTTTTTAAATATACTTTTATACTGCAATAATTTCACATTCGATCTTCAAATTAATGTGGAAACAACATAAAGACAGTATATTTTTAGTATTTGTTTAGAGGCATCTTTTTTTATGACTGAAAGTAAGTATCATTGATACCAATACTACTGATGTCTCTAGGAAATTATTCTTTTTTCCTAATATTAAACTATTGAATATAGCCATTCAGCATTACAGTATAATTGAGAGCTATCGATTTTCACATTTATTAGACTTTAAAAAATAACTTTAATTTAAGTGAACTAATACAATCTTCACATAAATCCATTATAATAAATGTCATATTTATTGTGTCCTTCAGCAAGTAGGAAATGTTCAGAAATTGAATAAAGTTATCAAACACTAAATTCTAAATTAAATATAGATGAATCCTTAAAGCTACAAAAGTTATTGATTACCTCTTTTTTTCTTTTTTTTGTTCGATGAACAGACATCACAGCAGCTGTATATTAGTTTATTTGGCTGCTATTACTTTAAGAGCTGCCGCTGCTGAACGTGATGTGGATCTGACGCACATGATCATAGTTTCATTCGTTTTATTATGAAATTATACAGGCGACAGGCAGAGCACACCGCCGTATTTGTGGGTGCAGTTGAAGAGCATGCACTACGAGCACATTGTAATGGCTGACAGGACAGGAAAATTAGCTTCTGCTGACATACGGCCTGACAACATCTCATCTGACTGCAGATCACTGATGTTCTACTGAAGCTCCTCGTCACCTGTACCAATTCTGCTCTCGTTTGACTAGCGCCTGCCGCTAAGGCGAAGTGGAGCGCGTCTGAAAAGTCTCCTGTTTGATGTGCTCATAAAGATGCTCTGCATTTAAATAAATGCAATTCTTGTCAAGAAAAAATAGACAGAAGCAGCAGTTGTTATTGGGGTGCGTTAACTGCATTAAATATTTTTAACGCCATTAAACTGGAAAAATGAATCGCCTGCATTAACGCGCTAATTTAACTTATCAGTATTGGCCACTGTTTATATATTTCTTGTTCATGCTTATTTTCCCTATTTGTACTTTTAGTTGACATTTTCTGTCATCTTATGCTCACTTACAGTTAATATTTAAAACATTTGACACTCATTTTTACTGTAAATAACTTTTTTAATGCAGTATCATGCTGACACCATCAAGAATGTTCGTGAAGCCATTGAGAGTTTTGGAGCTGGTAGCATTGAGTACCGACCAGTGGCCATTGCTCTGGATACCAAAGGCCCTGAGATCAGGACTGGACTTATTAAGGGCGTAAGTATAGTGTCTTGTTTTCTGATGTTCTTCTCAATTTTTTAAACTCAGACCTCATGTATGTGGTTTCTTCAGAGTGGCACTGAGGAGATCAAGCTTGTCAAGGGTAACATAATCAAGCTAACTCTGGATGACAGCTTCAAGGACAACTGCGATGACAAGATTCTGTGGCTGGACTACAAGAACATTACAAAGGTGGTGCAGCAGGGCAGCCATATTTACGTAGACGACGGTCTTATTTCACTCAAAGTTAAGGAAATTGGTGAGGTCCAAGTTCAAGTTCAATGAATCTCACCTATCATAACCACATAGTATTTTCAAGCCTTTGAAACGTCACAGCAGGACTGTGTTGTTTTAACATTGTTTAATGTTCCAGGTTCTGATTTCCTGAACTGCGAGATTGAGAACGGAGGCATGTTGGGCAGCAAGAAAGGTGTGAACCTGCCTGGGGCCAAAGTTGACCTGCCTGCAGTGTCTGAGAAGGACATTCAGGACCTTCAGTTTGGTGTGGAGCAGGGTGTCGACATGGTTTTTGCCTCCTTTATCCGCAAAGCTGCTGACGTGCATGCTGTCAGGAAGGTGCTTGGAGAGAAAGGCAAAGACATCAAGATCATCAGCAAACTGGAGAACCATGAGGGTGTGCGCAAGTGAGTGATAATAGAAAGAAATATTAAATAAAATAAAATAAATTGTAAATATTTGTTAGCATAAATTAACTGATTATATAATAATTATTAAATTTCATAATATTTTTATTATATATTTTAAAAACCTAATTAAAATATTGTAATATATACATTGAAAATATTTTTTTAATAAATTTTTAATGTAGAAATATTCTTTCAAAAGTTTGGGGTCAGTAAGATTTTTTTTCCAGCAAGAATGCATTCAATTGTCATTCAAAAGTGACAATAAAGACATTTATAATGTTACAAAAGATTTCTATGTAAAATAAATGCTGTTCTTCTGAACTTTCTATTCATCAAAGAATCCTGAAAGAAAATATATCACAGTTTCCACAAAACATAACTGTTTTCAACTTAAATGATAATAATAATAAGAAATGTTTCTTGAGTACCAAATTTCAAAAGGATCATGTGACACTGAAGAATGGAGTAATGGTTGTTGAAATTATATTTGAAAATGTATTCAAATAGAACAGTTATATGCAAATATTTCACAATATTACAGTTTTTACTGTATTTTTGATCAAATAAATGCAGCCTTGGATAGCATAAGAGACATCTTTAAAAAAAACAAAAAAATTTGAAAAATGTGTGTCTGTGTGTGTGTGTGTGTACATATATATGTGTATGTTTAATATATAATGCAACAATATATTGTATGTATACAGTATATTAATTGGAATTTATTTCAAAGTGGGCATTCCTTACTGTAAATATGTGTTGTGTTTTGTAGATTGAGTTTGTTGCTCTGATTATTTCTTTATTTGCATTTCTTTATTTGTGTAGGTATGATGAGATCTTGGAGGCTAGCGATGGTATCATGGTCGCCCGTGGAGATCTGGGTATTGAGATCCCAACTGAGAAGGTGTTCCTGGCTCAAAAGATGATGATTGGTCGCTGCAACAGGATTGGCAAACCAATCATCTGCGCCACACAGGTTAGGACAGACATCATGCAGAAGCGAGTGAGCCGGCTCAGTTCAGCCAGCACAATCTGACTGTCTCTTTGACTGACAGATGCTGGAGAGCATGATCAAGAAGCCCCGCCCCACCCGTGCCGAGAGCAGCGACGTGGCCAATGCCGTGCTCGACGGTGCCGACTGTATCATGCTGAGCGGAGAGACCGCAAAGGGTGAATACCCTCTAGAGTCTGTGCGCACGCAGCACCAGGTACTGTATCCATCAAGAGCGCCACCTTCTGGCTTTACCTGTCTGGTGCCTGATAAGTGTACTAATGCTAATGTTAATAATGCACAGTAAGTTTAGCTTGCTAAGCAGTACATTCATGTAATCTCACCCTAAACCTCTTAATTCCAAAAGCGAATCTAGCAAAACTAAACACTATCTAAATGCTAATGCTGTAGCTGTATCTGTACTGTGTACATGTGCAATTAAAGGGATAGTTCACCCAAAAATGAAAATTATGTCATTAATTACTCACCCTCATGTCGTTCCAAACCCGTAAGACCTTCGTTCATCTTCGGAACACAAATTAAGATATTTTTGATGAATCCTGTGAGCTCTCTGACCCTCCCATAGACAGCAAGGATCCTTACATGATCAAGGTCCAGAAACATAGCAAGGAGATCGGTAAAATAGTCCATGTGACATCAGGGGTTCAACTGTAATTTTATGAAGCTACGAGAATACTTTTTGTGTGCAAAAAAAAAATTTGTTCAGATCAAAGCGCAAACGACGTAAACAGCGTATCCGCGTGACGCAGCTGACACAATGGCGCCAGGGTGACGCGGAGGATACTAATGGTTGAATAAAGTCGTTTTTTTATGTTTTCTTTTGTGCTCAAAAAGTATTCTCGTATCTTCGTAAAATTACAGTTGAACCACAGATATCACATGGATTATTTTACCGATCTCCTTGCTTGTAAGGTCAGAGAGCTGTCATATTCCATCAAAAATATCTTCATTTGTGTTCTGAAGATGAACGGAGGTCTTACAGGTTTGGAACAACATGAGGGTGAGTAATTAATGACAGAATGTTCATTTTTGGGTGAACTATCCCTTTAACTGTAACCCTTGTGAAAAAGAGGTATACTTTAGCATACATTTATTATGGAAATAATACACTTAAATATACTTAATAATTAATAATATACAGATTTGGGGAAATTTAGCATTACATCACTTGCTCACCAGTGGATCCTCTGCAGTGAATGGGTGCCGTCAGAATGAGAGTCCAAACAGCTGATAAAAACATCACAATAATCCACAAGTAATCCATAAGACTCCAGTCAATTAAAGTCTAGTGAACTGAAAAGTTGTCCAAATCCATCATTGATGCGTTTTTTAATTTCAAACCGTTGCTTTTGGTTAAAAGAGTCCTCTATCCATAATATTGCTTTCTAAAGGTGAAAAGTCATCTCGTCTGAATCAGGAGAGAAACATACACAGATCAAGCATTGTTTGCAAGTGAAAATAGTCCAAAACAGTTTTAAGCGAATATATCTGTTAATTTTGATGCGAGAGGACGACAGGGGATGGACATTTTCACTGGAGGAAGCTTGATTATGAAATATGGACTAGTATTTTTGCCAGAAACAATGGCTTAAATTAAAATGCCTTGATGTTTTTTTTTTTTTTTTTAAACAAACATGCAGCTTTTAACTTTACGAAACTTTAATTGATTGGACTGGAGTCGTGTGAATTACTCGTGGATTATAGTGATGTTTTTATCAGCTGTTTAGACTCTCATTCTGACGGCACCCATTCACTGCAGAGGATCCA